ATTACCTTGTTGCCTTCTGTTAGGCGTAAGGGCAAGCTTTCACTTGGAGGCCTTCTATGGGTGCGAGAGCCTATAAAATGAAGACTCATGGTGTCGGCAGCAAGGGTGCTCAGGAGGACAGCTCCCCCCCTGTCTTGTCTGATGGCGAGAAAGTGGGTAATGGGGACATCCCAAATGCAGATCCAGTTATAGAAGACTCAGACTCAGAGGAAAAGGAGCTATATTTTGAAATCAAGAAACGAGAACCTAAGAAGGCCGATACATTGTCAGACCGGATTCCCTCAAGCCATGTAAGCAAGATTGTTGCAGCCCTTGAAGCTGGCCAATCCTTGGTCCAGGAGGATGGAACGGGCAGTAATGCTATTAAGAATTTGCCTATGGTTGATGAACCGGAGGTGTGGCATGTAGAGGAGGTGGCTGCTACTGGGTCGGGGTTGGATGAATATGGCTCTAACATGCCGCATCCGGCCTTTGTTTCTCGTAAGCGTTCGTTGGAACTTGTCGAAGGGGATATGAATGGTGCCCCTAGTCCGAAGAAACAATTTGTGGAAGTTGATGAAGACTCTGTCTAGGTGGGGGTAGCCAGCCTTGATTGGCCCCAATCGGTTAAATGAAACTTCTGGCCTGGAATGTGAGAGGAATTGGACCATCCCTCACATTCCAAACTGCTGTCGGTCTTGTTCGTTCTAATAAGCCGGATCTGGTGTTTTTTTCGGAAACACGTTCGAGACGGAGAGTTGTGTCTCGTCGTTTGCGCGGGCTAGTTTTTGAATCTTGTTGTTTTTTTGTTGATGCTATTGATACTTCTGGAGGGTTAGTTGTAGCCTGGTCTCCTGAGGTCTCGGCATCGGTGTTTTTTCATTCGCACTTCTGTGTTTGTGTTCAAATTAATGAAATGGATTTCTCGTACGTTGCTATCTTTGTTTATTTTAGCTGTAATGTGGCCGTCCGTGCTACCCAGCTTGACCAGCTCCAGGCTGTTTGTGCTGATATCCAGCTTCCCTATGTGGTTTTGGGTGATTTTAATACCACTCTCTTTGAGGGCGAAAAAGATGGTGGTAACCACTTGAATACTGCGCAGGCTCTCGGGCTCCGGAATTTTGTTCACAACCTGGGGCTAATAGACCCTGGTTACCAAGGGGATCTTTTTACCTGGACAAACAAACGGATGGGGGCGGCTTGTATTCGGGAGAGACTGGATAGGGCTCTGTGCTCCCAAGCCTGGCTTGATCGCTTCCCGGATACTCTGGTTAAGCATTTTATGGATCAGGGTTCGGATCACCGGGCGATCCTCCTCTCTGATAAGCCATATGTTCGCCATACTCGACCCCTATTCCGGTTTGATGCCCGTTGGGCTGATAACCCTGAAGTGGCAATGGTCTCTTACGTTTGGCAGGAGGACATCCAAGGGACGCCGATGTTTCGACTTTGGGAACGCTTTAAGAAACTACGTCATCTCTTATATGACTGAAGTAGAGCGGGCACAACCAATTCCCTTCGTAACATCAGAACGCTTCAAAGTGAAATTGAGCGTATCAAACTTAGTCATCCTATTGATTGGGATGAGATCCGTCGTCTTGAAATTGAGCTGACTAGACAATGGGAAGCGGAGGAAGTTTACTGGAAACAGAAGTCTAGAGTCAATTGGCTTAAGAAAGGTGATAAAAATACGTCGTATTTCCATACGGTTACTCGAATACGCCGTAAACGGAACTTTGTGGCGGGTTTGAGAGGGGATAATGGTGAGTGGGTCACCGATGAAAACGGGAAAGCGAACATAGCAACTTCTTACTATGGACATCTTTTTACGACTGAGAATCAGGTCCTAAATATGAGGGAGCGGGTGGAGGCTCTGCCTATTACCCGCAGTGTTACCCCGGAAATGAATGCTAACCTGACAGCTGCTGCCCTCCCCGCTGAGGTTCGTCGCACTGTCTTTGCAATGGGATCCAAGCAAGCTCCGGGGTCAGATGATTTCATGGGTAAATTCTTCAAGGCATTCTGGGGAATTGTGGGTGACTCGGTGATTGATGCAGTTTGCTCGTTTTTTACGACCAGTAAAATGCTCCGTAGCTTCAATCATACCTGGCTCACGTTAATTCCCAAAGTAGATAATGTGGAGTCTATGAAGCAGTTGCGCCCAATCAGTTTATGCCAATTCGTGTATAAAGTCATAACGAAAATTTTGGCTGAACGATTAGCAAGTCTCTTGCCACAAATTGTTTCGGAGGGACAAAATGCGTTCATTCGAGAGAGGCAAATCGTAGAAAATATTCTCCTTGGCCATGAATTGATGCATTACTTGAAAATCAAAAAGCAAGGGAAGAAAGGGTACATGGCTCTGAAGGTTGACATGGAAAAGGCCTATGATAGAGTCGAATGGCCGTTTCTTCTTGCGCTGTTGGATAAGATGGGTTTCAATGCAGTATGGCGGGGTTGGATTCATGAATGCCTGCGATCTTCATCATTTTCAGTTCTGATGAATGGTACTCCGTCTGGCTACTTCACTCCTACTAGGGGGTTACGCCAAGGTGATCCGCTATCTCCTCTCCTGTTTGTGCTATGCACGGAGGGATTTGCGACCCTTTTGAAGAAGGCTATCGCGGATAATCGGTTAGCTGGGGTCAAAGTTGCTCCGCTTGCCCCCCGAATCTCGCATTTGTTCTTTGCTGATGATTCTTACCTATTCCTACGGGGCACTCTCCAGGAATGTGAGACATTGATTGAGGTACTAAATGAATACGAGGAACTTAGTGGTCAGCGGGTAAATCTGGCTAAATCGGCGGTCTGCTTTAGCAAGAATATTGCTATGCCTGATCAAGAGTTCCTAGCCGCGATCTTGGGCGTAGGGGCGGTAGGCGTATGCGATAAATATCTGGGGCTCCCTACGCTGATTGCGCGTTCTAAAGTGGAGACTTTTCGATATCTGGAGGAAAAGCTGCTTGCTAGGCTTCAGGGATGGAAGCAACGGACATTGTCTTGGGCGGCTAAGGAGACTCTTATTAAATCCATTGCTTTGGCATTACCGCTGCATGTGATGTCTTGCTTCAAATTACCTCTCTCGCCGTGTCGCCTTTTAGACAAACATGTGGCTCGTTTCTGGTGGGGTGACAATGAGGGTCATTCTCGAGTTCGGTGGATGGCCTGGAGGGATTTGTGTAAGAGTAAACATGAGGGAGGGATGGGATTTCGTCGGTTTGAGCACTTCAATCAAGCTCTGCTGGCCAAGATTGGGTGGCGTATCATTATGGAACCTAATTCCTTGTTGGCCCAAGTCTATAAGGGTAAGTATTTCCCTTCGGGGCATTTTCTCATGGCTAAAGCTAGGTCTCGCCCGTTGTGGGGGTGGCAGAGAATCTTACATGGACGAGACTTCCTGGAGATGGGGCTCAGGTGACAAATTGGGAATGGGCGATCGGCGTCTCTGCTCCGATCCCCATGGATTCCCCAAATGCAGCTCGATCCTCCGCGGTATAACCCTATGGTGTTACCGGAAGGGGGCGATCCTACAGTGGCTGAGGTGATCTGCCAAGGGGAGGGTCGCTGGTGTGAGCTTAAACTCAGTCAATGGTTTGATCCCCCTACTTGCCGATTTATTAAGTCTATTCCTTTGCCGCGCCAGAACCTGGAGGATAGGTTGATCTGGCATTATACTCCGAATGGGGTGTTTTCGGTTAAGTCTGCCTATCACTTGGCTGTTTTGCTCGAACAGAGGAAAAGTCGATGGAAAGTGACGGTGAGCTGGATGGACAAGACTAGCTGGATCCGTTTATGGGATGCTAATCTCCCCCCTAAGCTGAAAGTTTTTGTTTGGCAGATCCTGAACCGGATCCTTCCCACGACGGAGGCTCTCATTGCGAGGAAAATCCCTGTTCATCCTCGATGCCCGGTCTGTTGGGGGGGGGGGGGGGGGGGGGGGGGGTCCAGAAACCTTGGAGCATTTGTTTCTCGATTGCCCTGTTGCACGTGCCCTTTGGGGCTATTCAGGATTGGAGTATTTAGGAGAGGGTTTGCCTCGACATACTTTCCCCCTGTTCCATAAGAGGTTAATGGCCTTGATCCCTCAAGCCGATCTTCTCATGCGAGATGTGTCCATCCTTTGGCGTATTTGGAGATCTCTGAATTGGGTGGTATTCGAAGGCAAGCAGTATGGATTTCCGGCTTTGATGCGCCAGTTTTCCCAGCAGGTGGAGGAATGGGTGGGATTGCCGATGGAGACATCCCCCCAGAATCCTCTTCCCGAAAGAAATCGCGCTGGATCGGTGGAGCCTGCTGCTGGGATTGTATGCCACTGGGATGGGGCTACTAGGAAGGGGTCTCATTCGGCAGGAGGGTGGGTTCTCTACGATGGGATGAGGAATGTTCTCCTGGCTAGTGGGGTCCAGTTCCCTGGGATGGATGATCCGGCTGTGGTGGAACTGCTTGTGCTCCGGGAGGCTGTTCTGTGGTGTTTGGTTCATGGTTTCACGGAGGCAAGGTTTGAAGGGGACGCTAAGTGATCATTGATAAAATCAACAAGGCGGATACTCGAGATAACCAGCTGGGCGCAGTTCTGGAAGAGGTAGTGCACGCTGTTGGTGGTACCCCTGGTTATAGTGTTCGGTTCATAGGTCGGCGTAGAAATAGGGTAGCCCATTTGGTGGCTAGAAAAGCTCTTGCTTTGTACCCGACTTTGAGTCGTTGGTTTGATTTTCGTACCTGGTTGTTGTCCAGGATGTAACTATCTTTTTGTTGGATCAATATATGATTATCTTTTGTCAAAAAAAAAATGGTCTCTATTGGTTTTTCGGTTTTACCCAAACCAAAACCATTAAGTTGTTTATTGGTTTAAAACCAAAAAACTGAAACCATTAACTTTCCAATTGGTTTGGTTTCGGTTAAAACCAAAACCAAATGGACAGCCCTAACCACGAGGGGAGGGGAATGAGAAACGCCATCAATTAAAAAACCCCTACTGACTATGTTCTATTCTACAGTCCAAAAACCCATAAATCTATTTGGATATAACATGTATTGTATTACGTTTCCTGTTATGATTGATAAAGCACTATTTTAATCATCCAGGTTTAGACAACTTGAGTCTAATTCACCCGAATTTGAGCTGGATGTTAAGAAGAAAAAAGTCCATCAATTTACAAAGACCAGGATAAAATTCCCCAGAAAAAAAAAACGACCTTTCTTAACTCCACTACTCCAGTACTTCCCATACTCTAATCGTCCATTTTCGTCACTATCTTCTACTTCCATTATTTGTCTAATTCCAAATACGTTTTTCTCTCTAAGGTCATGCCACCCCACAAAGCTCTTCTTCATGCTTCCAGTTCCTCGACGCAAAATTCCCATAATACCCACAACTCGAATGGTTCAACTCCCTACAGAGCTGGTCATATTTCTCCAGATCAAACCCATAGACCTTCATCAGCTTCTTCTGCTTGGCCTGAAACCTCCTCCTGAAATACCCTTCGAAAGTGGGCTCCGTGGACGTCCTCAGGAAGAAAGCGTAGGCCAGCCCGAAATGGACCGAGGCAGCGAAGAAGCAAATGGGCTCCATCACGTCCCAGCTCAGCTCCCAGAACGTCAGCCTCATGAACCCCAGCGTCTGGGCCGTCAAAAAGCCCAGCCCACAGTACAGCTCTGTCCGGACTTGGGCTCTGGCCTTTTCGTCGATCGCGGCCTTCTGCTTCTCCATCTCCTCTAGCAATCCCCTCCTCGGGTCGTTCGGGATCCCAATTGATTGCGATATTACGCTTTCCATCGATTTCGCTACCTGTTTTCACGACCACGCAGTTAACAGCATTAATTAGAATTTAATGGAATTGATTTAAGTAGTAAACGCTCTTAAGGAAAGTGATTAACTGATTACTGATTCGATGTGAGGATTATACCTGCTCGGGTCTGAGGAAGACGGTGTTGCCCAAAACGATGACGTTTCCAGACTGATCTAGCGTTTTGGCGAACTCGGCGCCTTGCTCTTCGTTCCCGCATTCCTGATTGCAGATCTGGGCGAAATCCGGGAAAGGGATCGAGCTCGTCGGAATCTCCCTCAGCCTGGCTTTCAGCTTCTGCATCTGAGCGAGCCTCAAGATCTTCCTCGCCTCCTCAATCGAAACTCCGAGGTGCGCACTGCTCGTTGATTTCGCCGGCGGCGACGGCGGCGGCGGCGGAGGATGATTGAGTCCGGTCAGGTGGAGCCGGTCGTCGGAGACGTTGACGAGGCGGAGCTTCTCCCTCAGCCTCTCTCCGACGGGCAAGGAGAGGAACTCCGGCAAGTGGTTTCTCAGCGCCGCCCGGTGAATGAATCGCCTGGAATTGGAATTGGGTCCTCCGTCTGCGGCGGCGGAGGGAGAGGAGTCCCGGAGAAGGGCTTGTTTGGCGGGGTTGGGTTTGGCGGATTGCTCGACGGCCGGCGAGGGGGATCGGCCGAGAAAGAGACGCTTGGAGATCAATTTCCGAAGCGCCATTGTGGGAGGGTTTCGATTGGGCGAGATTCTCTGAGAGGGGGTTTAAAATTTAAATTGTTTTCCTGATTTTGAAGGTGGAGGAGGGAGAGATTATATATATATATGTGGAGGGAAGGCGTAGGGTTGTGTAATTAATAAGAGATTCACAATGCGGGAATCTTTCTCTGACATGATTCCGTATTCGCGAGAAAAAATATCGGGGGATGGTAAATTGGTAATAAATCGAAGTTAAAACTCGAGAGGGAGAAGTAGGAAAGGCCGAAAAGGAAAGTAAAAAAAGTTATAGGTATAATATACGTATTTATTACGTAGTTTTATCACTTTTCCAAATTACATAGTCACGTTTGATGTAAAAAAAAAAGGTATGATAAAACAATATGGTAGAGGTGCATATTATACATGTAATCCTAGAAAGAAGGTAAGAGAATGTACGAGGGTAGGTTGTAATTAATAGTAGAGTATTTTGTATTTGAATTATTTTTTAACCGTGTTTAATCATTTCATTCAAATAACATTGATATATATATATATATATATATATATTGTTGTTATTAACTTTTTTTTTCTTTTTCAGTCGATCGTCAGTACAATAGTATGATTTTAACAAGAGATGACAATTAAACACCCAGTCTAGTTCAACTTGGTTAAATCGGGTAAAATTTCACGTTGACGGGTTCTTGAATAAGAAATGAGAATTGAAATTCTGCTTTTCAAATTGACGGATTTGAGTTCGGTCAAAACTCGACTTGCTTTTCAAATTGATTTGGCTATCGATTTGAATTTTATTCTCTTGAGTCTTGAGTATGACGAGTAGGAACAAAACCACTAATCCCTAACAACAAAAGTGGACGATCGTGGCTACATGAACAAATACCTTTCTAATTTGTCATCCCATTTGGGGCAACACTACGTACGTTCGGCCAAAGAAAAAAAACGGCCGTCATAGAAACTACGAGAAGGAAGTCTTCATCAGATTTACAAATTTCCATATTATTATTACAAACGAGTGAGTGAGTGGTAACGACATCCCCACAACAAGAGCTGTCCTAACGCCAATTTTTATTTTTATTTGTTAATGCGTACGTAGCGTAACTGTATGGCTATCTATCTCGATGCTCCTCCACACGCTGCTTATAGCGAGGAGGAATTAGATTTTGGTATGTGGCGTAACACTTTTAATAATACTCTTCTTTCAGAAATCAAAAGCGTTTGTGGTCAATTCTCTCTTTGTCCATGTTTGTGTGGGTTTCAGTTTTTGCAAAGACAATACATGTCTTGTTCCTATCAGATATTTTGCTACCGATGATTTGTTTTACACATCGTTTTGGTTGTTGGATTTGATAAATGAGGGAATTGGTTAAAATCTCGGTTTTGGAATACATTGGATTTCTGATGGATTTGACTCATTATGGATTTGTGTTGGGAGAAGCTTGATCAATGGCGCCATAAGAATAAGGAAAGAAGAATAAACAGCAAGGAGCAAGAAAAGGAAGTCGAGATTATGCCAATCAATTCTGCAAATCAAGAGAATGAGTTACCACATTTAACACAATAACGGTCGACAAGGAACAGAGATAAAAGGAGGAGAACAAGAAGAGCAGAGATACCTTTTCACAGACTTTCAATTGAGATACAGAGAGTTCTTGTAATTGAAAAGAAAATGGGAGTTGTCAGGGAGATAGCTGGTGAATTCGTAGTTATATATCAAGTCAAGGTTTGCGGGGAGCGAAACTTTGAAGGGGATTCTGATCAGTGACAGGGAGTCACACAGAGATCATATTGTGTACTGTGTAAATCGAAACCAAACATCATAGTGGAACGCCAAAGAGTTCTTGCTGAACTACTTTGGCCGTGGACTAGTCGATACTGATTCATCAGTATCGGAAACCACGTAAAAAGTCTCTGTGCCATTTATTTTGCTGTTGCTTCTGACTTGATCTTGTGAAAGGCTCTGCCTTGCAGAAACTTGTGTTGCAGGGATTGAACAAAACAGAGGAGCTGTATAGAGGAGGAAGAAGGAGTACTTCAACTCTCTGGACTCAAGCTGCGAAGAAGAAGCCCTCTTCCTAAGCCTGCAAAAATCCGACTCAGTGTTTGGGCTTTAAGCGCAATTGAATTATGTCTTTGAGTTTACTTACAATTTTTATCAACATAAGACTTAACATTGTTCCTCTTCGTAAAATCAAAGTAACTCTCTTCACATTCATCGATTTAGGGTTTCTGAGTCAAGAAGGAGAAAAGTCGAAGAGAGTCTCGCGCTCGACTCCATCCTACACGTGGTATCAGAGCCTGGCTCTAGCAAAGTAGGCTTAACATCCTCCGGCGAAAATGGGTTCGAGCTCGACAAACGGAAATGGAGTCTTCATGGCTGACGGGTTCTCACAAACTCGACCTCTCAGATTTGAAGGAGTCCACTATGGATATTGGAGGAACATAATGGAGCTGTTCATCGGCTCTACTGATCCTGATTTGTGGAATATAGTCCTTGACGGACCACTAGAAGTGAAGGAAGCCAGAGGGACGTGGACTGAGAAAGTCAAGAAGAACTTCCAGTTGAATTCAAAGGCAACCAACTTGATGTACTGTGCATTGGGACCCGAGGAGTATCACAGAGTCACTGGATGCAAGACTGCAAAGGAGATTTGGGATAAGCTCCAAGTTGCTCATGAAGGTACGACACATGTTAAGATTTCCAGGATAAACAGACTTAAACAAGAGTTTGAGTCTTTTGTGATGAAGCCTGAGGAGTCAATTAAAGAAATGCGTGAGAGATTCAACACTATTGTCAACAGCCTGAGAAATCTGGAAGTAGAGTATGCTAGTGCAAACTTGGTTAGAAAAATACTGTGGGTACTTCCTAAGAGGTGGACTCCCAAGGTCACTGCTATTGAAGAGTCAAAGGACTTAACCAATTTGTGTCTAGATGAATTGATGGGATCTCTGGTAACTCATGAAGACAAACTGAAGAGGGAAGAAGATGAAGAAACTAGAAAAGAAAAAAGAGGAATATCATTTCGAGTCTCTGAACAAGAAGATGATCTAGAAGACATGGAAGATGATGAACTGGCCATGTTAAGCAAGCATGTGGCCAGACTGCTCAAACTACGAAAAGAAAAGAGGCAACCTGGGTAGTCGTTTAAGGGAAGCTGACTCAAACAAGGATCCAGCCAAGGCAGACATCAAGGTTCAGAAGAGAGGCAAACATACATGACAAAAGTAACACTCAAGCGGGATGTTTTAAGTGCGGAAGAAGTGAACACATTAAAGCAGAATGTCCACAACTGAAACTGGAGAAAGCATATGCATCAACTTGGAGCTGCAGTGAAGATGATGATGATGAAGCTGAGTCTGACAGAAGACAGGAAGCATTCATGGCATTAGAAGGATGTGACGATGAATGCAACTCATCTCAGGTAAGATCCCCAAACTATTACTCAAAAGATGAAAGTGAAAATGAACAAACTAATGAGACCATAAGAGATATTCAAATAGAGTTTCACAATGTACAAATTAAACACTTGAGACTCAAGTCAGATTTTAGGAGCTTAAGTGAACAATACAACATATTAGCAGTAGAAAAAATGGGGTTGGAATCAAGGCTGAATGAACTTATATCTAAGAATGAGCAACTAGAAGAGAAACTAGTTGAAATTACTAAACAAGAATCTGCTGTTAATAAAAGAACTAATGTGTTAAAAGGCAAAAGCAACCATTCTGTGTATAATAACAGGTCACAACACGTAGAATGTTTCTATTGTCATCAAACAGGGCATTATATTGCAAACTGTAAGAAAAGATTAACCAAAGAAGATAAACTAAAATCTACGGTATGCTTTTCTTATCATAAACTTGGGCACATGAGCTATAGGTGTACAACCCTTAACACAAAACTTAGATCAACTAGATTAGTATGGTTACCTAAAGGAAAATAAATGTCTTTGTTGAAATAGGTCTGCTTCCAAGTGAGCATGGAAGACAGCGAGTGGATTCTGGATAGTGGGTGCTCACATCATATGACTGGTAATGAAAAACTTTTTACAAAACTAATTAAAGGAAAGAAAGGTAAAGTATATTTTGGTGATAATTATTGCACCGACATTTTAGGTAAAGGGAAAGTAGGGACAGGTCCGATAATAAAAAATGTGATGTTGGTTAATGAGCTAAAACACAACCTATTTTCGATTAGTCAAATGTGTGGAGAGTCAAACAGAGTAGTTTTTGAACCAAATGGGTGTTATGTGGAAAACATTAAAAGTAGATCCATTTTATTCTCTGGAAAACGTAAAGGGAAACTATTTTGTCTAAACTTAAATGATAAAACTTCATTCAATGAAATGTGTCTAGTATCTATGGACAAAAATGATCAACTGGAATGGTATAGGAGGTTAGGACATGTTAGCGTAGGATCTTTATCTAAGTTAGTTAGTTTGAACTTAGTAACAGGGATCCCTAAGGTAAACTGCAAAAAGGAGTTTTTCTGTGAAGCGTGCACAAGAGGCAAATAGGTCAGATCATCCTTTAAAAGTAAACAGGTCATTTCAACTTCAAAACCTCTAGAACTACTTCATTTAGATCTTTTTGGACCAAGCAATGTAATGAGTTTAGGAGGTAAATCATATGCATTTATGATAGTGGATGATTACTCTAGGTTCACCTGGGTAATTTTTCTGGCTAATAAAAGTGATGCATACAAAAGTTTTAAAAATCTAGTCAGGAGAATACAAAATGAAAGGGAATCACAGGTTATAAGCATTAGAAGTGATCACGGTGGGGAGTTCATCTCAGAAAAGTTTGAACAGTTTTGTGAAAAACTTGGTATTTCACACAACCTTTCTGCTCCCAGAACCCCGCAACAAAATGGTGTGGTAGAGCGTAAGAACAGAACACTAATAGATATTGCTAGAACCATTTTGAATGACTATGGTCTGGCAAAACACTTCTGGGCAGAAGCTGTAAACACAGCTTGTTACACCATAAATCGTGCCTTAATAAGGTCAAAATTGAATAAAACACCCTATGAATTATGGAAGGGAAGAAAACCTAATTTAGGTTACTTTCATCCATTCGGCTGCAAGTGTTTTGTACTTAACACAAAGGATAACCTAGGTAATTTGATTCAAGGTCAGATGAATCTATCTTTCTAGGATATTCTCAGAACAGTAGGGCATACAGAACTTTTAACAAAAGGACCCTCAAAGTAGAGGAGTCCATCAATGTGGTATTTGATGAAACGTCAAGTAAGTGTGCAGAATTGATCGATGAAGATGATGACTTAGGACTTGGCAGTCAGCAATCCAGTATCACAGAAAGCCAAATATCAGAAAATTCAAGTGTACAAGCTGCTAACAAGGCAAGAGAAGAGGAAGAAAGGTCAGAGGAACAGCCTGTACAGGCACCTCCACATATACAGAAAAGACATCCTTCCTCCCAAATAATTGGTGACATCAATCAAGGTATGACTACTCGCTCCGAGTTAGCATCTATACAAACTGCCTTTGTGTCATTGATTGAACCCAAAAATGTTCAGGAAGCATTAAATGATGAGTTTTGGAATGAGTCAATGCATGACAGCATGAGGAAATGAACCAATTTAGAAGAAATAATGTGTGGGAACTTGTTCCTAGACCAGAAAACAGAGTAATAATTGGCACCAAATGGATTTATCGAAACAAATCAAATGAAGTAGGCAAGATTACTAGAAACAAGTCAAGATTAGTAGATCAAGGGTATAACCAAGAGGAAGGAATAGATTTTGATGAAACCTTTGCACCTGTAGCAAGACTAGAAGCTATTCAGTTACTATACATGCCTTTACTGTTGCTAAAGGATTTAAACTGTTTCAAATGGATGTAAAAAGCGCATTTTTAAATGGTGACATAAAAGAGGAAGTTTATGTGTCTCAACCACCTGGATTTGAAGATCATGAATTTCCAAACCATGTATATAAACTAAATAAGGCGCTTTATGGTCTTAAGCAAGCTCCTAGAGCCTGGTATGAAAAATTGAGCTATTTTCTGTTGGAAAAGGGTTTCCATACTGTAGACAAAACTTTGTTTATAAAAAATGAAAAGAATCATACCTTACTAGTGCAAGTATACGTTGATGATATAATCTTTGGATCCACTAGTAATGCTTTATGTAAGGAATTTGAGCAGGACATGAAGGGAGCCTTTGAAATGAGTCTTATGGGAGAACTTAATTATTTTTTAGGTTTACAGGTCAAACAAACTCAGAAAGGAACCTTCATAAGTCAATCGAAGTATCTTGAGAACATACTCAGAAAATTCAACTTTAACAACCTTAAAAGTGCTGTAACACCTATGGGAACAACAATTAAACTGTCAAAAGATGAGTCTGGAACCCCTGTTGATGACAGATTGTATCGTGGAATGATTGGATCACTGTTATATTTAAAAGCTAGTCATCCATATATAATGTACAGTGTGTGTGTATGTGCTAGATTCCAAAGCTGCCCTAAAATGAGTCACTTAACTGTAGTTAAGAGAATATTTCGATATCTTCTTGGCACTACTCATCTAGGTTTATGGTACTCTAGTGACTGTAGGTTAGATCTTATAAGCTACAGTGACTCTGACTATGCTGGGTGCTTGGTAGACAGAAAAAGTACTTCTGGTACTTGTCACTTTCTAGGAACATCCCTCATATCATGGGCTAGCAAAAAGCAAAACTCAGTAGCTCTGTCTACTGCCGAGGTAGAATATGTAGCAGCAGGATTAAGGTGTATACAACTCTTGTGGTTAAAATATCAGCTTCAAGATTATGGTTTAGAGTTAGGTCCCCATCCCATTTTTTGTGTCAATACCAGTGCAATCAACATGACAAAGAACCCAATTCAGCACTCACGGACCAAGCATATTGAAGTGAGATATCATTTCATTCGTGAGTTGGTCCAAGAAGGGAAGATTAGTATGGAATTTGTCAGTACTGAAAAATAGTGGGCTGACATATTCACCAAGCCTCTTGGTGCAAACAAATTCCTTCCAATATGTCATGAGCTTGGCTTAATCGATATCAATGATATCAAATCCCTATGAGTCCTATCCTGTGAATACTGACTTACCTTTTTCTCTTGGGATTGATTTTGATTCTCTGGCAGATCAAAACTTGCCTCCTAGTGACTTATCACCTTCCTTTCCAGGGTTCTATCTCTCCCTATTTAACCCTCTTCTCCTTAGGGCTCCTCATACTCATATCCTCGTCCTACTTCACTCTGCCGCCTCTCCTCTCCATCTCAAAAATGGCCATCAACAATGCTCAACTGCATCCTGCAGCTGTGTTAAAAAATCAAGGATATCGCAATGCTGCTGCATATTCCCGCTATCTTCAAAATTTCAGGGATCGACCCGTTTATCCCTCCTTCTCTATCCATCCTTCAGGCTTTGATAAGTATGATATGAATATTCCTTCACTTCTGGAGAACCTCGGATGGAGTTCTCTGGTTGAGAACATGTTTCAGCTACTGTCCCGAAGCTGTGCTCAAGTTCTATGTCAACATCAAACGTGGTCCTGGATGTGATCCATCCTTCTTCACCACGATTGTGTTTGAATACGAGATCAAAGTTACTCCTCAGCTTTTGGCCAATCTACTTGACCTTCCTCATTCTGGGCTTCAAGCTGGGAACGATGGAGAATTCTCCTCCCATGGGTTCTCTTTCGATACAGCTCTTGAGACTCTGACTCGAGATATTGGGAGATACTATCCAAATCGTCTAGCTGATGGACGTCTCTTTGACGACATGAAGGTCCTTCACTTCTTCATCACTAGGTGCTTTATGACTCGAGATCTCTCATCCACTGATATTCTCCATCCCACAGATCTATGGATTCTGTTGAATGCTAAGGCTGGTCGGCAACTCAGTTACGCATCTCTAATGTTCAAACATATGCTTAAATTTGGTTTGTAATACTTCAGTAGTCCTCTAGCTTTTGGTCCTCAAATTACCAAACTTATCTATAAGCTGGGAATTGATCTTCGCGATAAGATCACTCTCTGCAATATTCTGGAGGAGGTCCGCCCTCAACATGTTCTGGCCAAATTAGATGCTGAGGTTGGCCCCCAAAAGCTCGTCAATGGCTCAGGGGGAGTAAGGGTTGATCCTGTTGATTCTATAAAGTCATATCATTCTGGCAAATTTGTTGGAGCACTCATGAATGTTGTCGTAACTGTGGTGAAGAAAGAGACAACCAAGTAAATGAAGCAAACTGCTAGTTTGAAAAGACTCAGAGAAAAGGATCTCATGTGGCCAAAATTTGTATATGAATCTGGAACTGTTACTAATGCTATGAGCTCTGATTCTGAGTCTGAAGAAGAAGGTGGAGTCTCAGACTATGAGTCTTTGCCAAAGTATCCATTTTAAGTAGGAGTTGGGACTATTCGTAGGGGGAGAATCTAGAGTTAGACTGTCAAGTGTCCTTGAGTTGTTTTGAGTCTTGTTTACTGTGTCAAGTGTCCTTGAGTTGTTCTGAGTCATGTCAAATGTGGTTTTTAAAATGGTGGATTAATGAATAAATGATTCTCCTTGATCTCCTTGGATCTGTGCATTCTCATTATACTGCAGGATAGAACAGGCTGCACCAATCGTGTGTTCACTGTGTGCAGGTTACAGGAAGAGCCAGTGACAAGCTTAGTGGAGATTGTTGGGAGAAGCTTGATCAATGGCGCCATAAGAATAAGGAAAGAAGAATAAACGGCAAGGAGCAAGATAAGGAAGTCGAGATTGTGCCAATCAATTCTGCAAATCAAGAGAATGGGTTATCACATTTACCACAATAACGGTCGACAAGAAACAGAGATCAAAGGAGGAGAACAAGAAGAGCAGAGATACCTTTTCACAGACTTTCAATTGAGATACAAAGAGTTCTTGTAATTGAAAAGAAAAGGGAAGTTGTCAGAGAGATAGCTGGTGAATTCGTAGTTATATATCAAGTCAAGGTTTGCGGGGAGCGAAACTTTGAAGGGGATTCTGATCAGTGACAGGGAGTCACATAGAGATCATATTGTGTACTGTGTAAATCGAAACCAAACATCATAGTGTAACGCCAAAGAGTTCTTGTTGAACTACTTTGGCCGTGGACTAGTCGATACTGATTCATCAGTATCGGAAACCACGTAAAAAGTCTCTGTGCCATTTATTTTGCTGTTGCTTCTGACTTGATCTTGTGAAAGGCTCTGCCTTGCAGAAACTTGTGTTGCAGGGATTGAACAAAACAGAGGAGCTGTACAGAGGAGGAAGAAGGAGTACTTCAACTCTCTGGACTCAAGCTGCGAAGAAGAAGCCCTCTTCCTAAGCCTGCAAAAATCCGACTCAGTGTTTGGGCTTTAAGCCCAATTGAATTCTGTCTTTGAGTTTACTTACAATTTTTATCAACATAAGACTTAACATTGTCCCTCTTCGTAAAATCAAAGTAACTCTCTTCACATTCATCGATTTAGGGTTTCTGAGTTCAGAAGGAGAAAAGTCGAAGAGAGTCTCGCGCTCGACTCTATCCTACAATTTGAAATTTTTTTGTTCTTTGCTTGTCGGATTTCATGATGGATTTTGATGATTTGGATTTGTGGTATGAAACGAAATTTACCTTATTGCTCTTATTTCTCTATTGTTATTTGTTTTTTCATACAAACCAATTTCGACGTTGAACACGATTCCGAATCAAGTTAGAATCACTTTATCCCAACTTAGTAAGGGAAAAATCATACAATAAATAATTTAATATTTTTGAAAATAAATTATTTGAAGCATCTCAATTTTCAGAATAATTTTCATCAATAGTTCCTATAAAATCCGAATCTTCCAAAGCATTTGAAACTATAATTAATAACATGGAGGTATTGTGGGTAAATTGGTAATATAAAATTAAAATGGGGTCATATGAGTCATTTAGTATAATGGATTTAGACCTCTTTCTCAAATCTCACAGGATTAGTTTTTTGCAAATTCGTGGTGTCCATGAATTTGGTACCTCCAAATCTTTTCAACAAATATGATTTTCTTTCCAAATCCGTAACGAATTGAATTTGGATACCTAAATTCAACAAGCAAATGATCACTTAATGAGGTTTGGCATGGAAAGGAAAGTTTACTCAGTGATTTCTAGGTTGGATATCAGAGGCATTACCGCTAAATTGTACCTTTATTTGTTCATTATTATTGGTGGCTACTGATGATCTGGTCTAGAATCGGATCAAATTGAGATAGGATTGGATTGAAAATAAAGAAAAATACAAGATCGAATCAAAATCAAGTTTGGTTTAGTGTGGCCCAAAATTTTCTTTACACGTAAAATAATTAAGAGAACCAAAACCAAATCAAAATGTATTCTATCAGATCTGATTAAGTCTAAATATCAATTAGATGCGAATTGGTTCCGTAAGAATCGGATCATTGCCTACCCCCTACATACTAATTTTTGATTATTTATATTCTAGTTTTAGTATGAATTATGATTTTATTCATAAGGCATGAGAAAACAAACTTATGTTTTATTTCAATAAAAAAATATTTGTATTATCATTTTAATTTGGACCTAGTTTCTTCCAGACTTTCAATTCATGTATTCTCGGAGAATTTGATTTGTGATTATGTTTGGAATACTTAGGGATGGTAAAATAGAAAAAAATTTGGGGGTTTGCCAATCCAATTTGTTAAGGATGAAATTAAATTTGGATAATTTTATTTTTGAGAAAAATCTATATCCAATTTTTAGTTTGAGTTTAAATTAAATTCAATGGCGTAACCAGAAATTCATCGGAGTGGTTTACTGATACTAAATAAGTTTCTAAGTTTTAACCTCTATTTGAATTTATGTAGTTGCAATTGTACATGAATAATAAGAATAGCGTGTAAATTGCATTAGAAATAGAATTTTAAAGTAAGATTTCAAGTGAGTTTTTTTAAAGTTGATGGGAGCCGAGATCAGTAGCGGATCCAGGGGGTGGCCACCCCGGGCCACGGTCCAGCCCTCCTCTGGATCCTGAACTAGTATAGCCTTTGTGCGTTTATCGATTTTAGTCATTCGGCCCAGTGTCATTTTATAATAAAATTGTGTGTAATTAGAGAAATGGGTAAGATACATATTAAAATCATAACTCTAAATTTAGTCTAGAAATTCTAGCTCAATAACTCTAAATTTAGTCTAGAAATTCATAACTCTAAAATGTAAAAGGCTAAAAGAAATATGAGATTTGTTCACTTGAAAAAAGAAAAATCACTAGAGCAGGAGGTGAAAATATGGATGGATACACAGTACAAATTGGTTAGTCGATTGATTTGTCTAGTGTTGACATTGTCCGTTTCAACAGCTACTAAATGATTTGCGCAATGGAACAGGTGAACAGGTGAAAAATGATTTGCGCAACAAAATGAGCGATGAATTTCTCGCCGATTGGTTAACTATTTTATTTGAAAAAGAGTAGTATGTGATTAGAATGGATGTAGACTCCTTTATTGATGAATTCACTATATTAAAATATCACGTGTACAATTTATATTGTAAAAAAATTATGATTTTTTGCGGTATCTAGTTTTCTAATGAATTGCGGCCCAGTGCGTTACTATGTTCTGGATCCGCCGCTGGCCGAGATATGAAATGAACAATTATTTAATTATAAATTCATACAATTTGCCATAAAAAAACTCATACAATTTTCAATTTCTTCCCTTCCAACCGGAAGTGGAGTCTATGGACCCATAATCTCTAATGTGGCTCCGACATTCATTATACCCATTATAGTTGGCATCCAAAAGAAAATAGATACCCGATTCTAATGTCTTTTTTGTGTTAATCTGTTCTGAAACAAACATAAATGTGAAACCCTCATTGAATGTGTGAATTAGATTGAAAGAAATTAATGAGATGGTCGATATAATTTTTTTGTGTACAATCACCCGGAGCCAAATACACCCAAATGAGTCCAACCAAATTGGAACTAGTAAAAACCCTAATAGACTTATTTGAATGTGTGAATTGGGTTGAAGGCAGTTGGTGAATTAAGTGAAATGTACTATTTAGACTCCTTATTATGACCAAAATTACATGGTTTTCACTTCTAAATTGCCATAATATCTTGGATTAGCTCAATGATCACTCAACATTTGTTTTAGTAGCTCTAAGATCGCTTGTACTATTTTGATGCATTTTTGGCACTATTTCATGTGTTTTCAGGCATAACATCCTACCAGACCATCATGTACATGTTGGGGAACATCACACACTACTAGGAGACATGATCAAAATTGGAATAAGTTCATAAAAGGGTGTTGGGATCTGTCAACAAATTCCCCAAAACAACGTCATGGTCATCGTTTTGAAGGGCACCCAGATTATGCGCAGATTCGCACAGAATATTCCATACATGGTGACCAAGAGGGAGGAGGCCCAAAGGGACTTGGAAGACATGTCTCACCCGACTTTTCATCCCCAAAAATCCTAATGAAGAGCCTACAAATGGACACATAGGATAGAAGATTGGTAGCCAATGATAAGAGGCCTTAGAGGGTTGTTACTCTGTCAACAGAGTGACACACTCAACTTAGAGCGATAATGCCTTCGGAGGGTAAATCGGCGGCAAAATGGCGGCAGAGCTGCTGAATGTCTATTTTGGAAGCCGATTTAGAGGATTTTCAGGGGATCACGTTTTGACTGATGTTTCCTAGAAACTCGTCCCCATGATCGGCTAATTCCTTAGTTGCTTAGATTTGCGAATCCTAGAGGTTGTTTGACCATGTATTCTTTGGTTTTGGGCATATATATGGCTATTTGATTTTTTTATCTTACTGTTTGGTTATTTTGTTGGTTTATTGTTGATGTGATTGCATAATGCATACATAAGACAAGGACTATATTCAAAGGATACATCCTCAAACCTGACTTCGTAGGTAAATGAGCTGGACACGATAATCCGTCGCGTTCAATCATTAATCGTTCAAACTGCGACATATGGTAGGAATAAGCCTAGCAAAGATTAAGCAACTCTAGGCGAAGCTTGCCTATGTAATGCATCACACTCATGCGTCCTTCACCATTCCTTAGTTTAGATTTACTTTTCGCGCACTATTTTTCCTTTTTGTTTTGTAAAACTAAGGGGCACTTCAACTAGGAAGAAACCTCAACATCCACAGTCCCATTTTTAATAATAGAACTCATCCCTCACCACTTGAGTACGTGGTTGTGACTAGTGAGAGGCCCTACAAAATACCATAATAGTCTTCAGACTAGATAAATTTGCATACACTTACTACACGCAATCACCGCTTGTATCTCCAACACTAGGTCAGGTTAGAGATGTGAAAGCTGTGAACAGAGAGGAACTCAAGTTAGTTAAATTTTCAAAATTCCAAATGTGCCCCTCTCGTATAAA